ATTGAGGTGTTTTAAACAGTTAAACTGTATTTAAATGAGAAGAATGAGGAAACCAATGCTAGCAAATCACAGAAATTGGTCAATTCAAACAATTAAAGTATACTGCTTGTATTATTAGTAAGAATAGAATATTTTTTTAGAGTTTCAGTATTTTTTTTCCATAAAAACAGTGCCTCATGGGCAGAGAACTAACTTTTAACAACAATAATGCCACTTGAAATTAATTTAAGACCAACTTCACAAAAAACACAAATGAGGAAAAACAAGAACAATTAGTTTTGTTCATGTTATATCATATTTTATTGATTTTTAAAGCTAACTGACTTCAGGTGGCAGTAAAATAAACCTGATATTTAATCCATCTCCGTGTCTGCTGATAGGAGCTAAAAGTCAAAGGTTATTAATATCAGTCCGTTCATTGTGTAGTTAATAATTTTAAACATGCAGATGCTTGGCACAATGACATGTTACAAATAAAACTAAATCAAGAACAAACAAAATAAAAATGTAAAATTCTCCTCTAAAGTCATTGTTTGAGATAAATTGTCACCTTAATTTCATTATCTGAGCCACAGCAGTGAGTTTAAAAACAGGATGATTCAACTAGAATCTGTCTCTATTTAGTTACTTAACCAAGTGTTTTTATGTAGATAAAAGTATGTTTAGGAACCTGTAAAATACACCAGAATGCAGGAAACTCCATCTACTAGTTTCAAATTTTCTGGGGGAGGACACCCAGACCCCCMACTGACGCCCCCTCACACACATTACAATGCCTCTGATGCTCTTGGTTTAATGTTTATGTTAAATTATTGATAGCAGAAACATTTACTTTGTTGTTAATGAAATGGGAAGTGGTTTGGGTCGGTGAACAGTATTGCAAACAAATAACAGTTTCAAAATGTATTGCTAGTGTAAATTGGAAAGATGTTTCTTTAATAACTTTCATTGTTGTTTATCCTTAATTTAAAATACTTTTACAATGGTATTTTCATTCACCCACAGGTTATTGTGAGAGTAATAACATGGACTTTATATGATAATTTTAATTTTAAACTGTTACATTATGTTCTGCTCAGATCACATTGAGCTAAATAAGATCAAATCTGCTGACTTGTTGTAAAATGAGACGTTTTCCTGTTTATCTTCTGTTAATAAATCCATAACACGAACAGCTTTTCTGACATTATTTAAAACATTAGATAGATTATATAAACTGTAAAATATTAATAATTGGGTTGGTATTATTATTAATAGTTTTAATGATTTCTACATCATCAAGTCCTTTTTTTTTCTGCTCTGTTGTCAACATGTACAGTAATGGGAAATCCAGACTCTTGACCGTTTATCATTAGCCGTTAGCTTCAGCAGCCGATCACACGGTCACCTGGTTTCTGAGCTCCAGTTGTTCTATAGAACCTCCTTGGGCTGGACCTCTTGGCAATAACAAAAAAAAAGTGACATCTAAACCCCTCCCGCCGACACGCACACACGACCACCAAACATGCTAAAAAATTAAAATCAATATTATAA